CACTGGATGGCTTGCTTCTTCTTCCTTGGTTTGGCTGGTTGATTTGGGTGGGCACTTGCACCGCCACGCGCAACTTGTGGAGACGGTTTTGCAACACGAGGCACTGCACTTTGCAAAGGTTGAAGCTCTTGCTCCCCGGAGTCCACTGCTGTGTCTTTGCTTCCACACACACCCGAATCAACCAGCCAAACCAAGGAAGAAGAAGCAAGCCATCCAGTGGCGCGACATTTCTCGGGTGGAGCTTGGGTCTCCTTTGATGTCCAACCAGCAGCTTTTGCAGCACCTGCGCCGCAGACCTGAATGGGCTGACACCAGAGTGGCCGTGCGGACTTTGTGGCAAAACAAAGAACGCATTTTGAGTGAGGTTCGCTGCGTAGAAAGCGAACTGTGCACCCATTGCTGGCGAACCCACTACATTCTCAGCAAGAGTTTGTACAGCCCTGGAACTTTGGTCGTTCAGGCATCTGTTGAACACACCGGGCATGACGGTGCTGTACCTTGTGCGTCAGGGAAAATCTTCAACGAAAAGCAGCGCGAAATTGCTGCCCGCTTCCTCTCCGGAGGTGGCCGTGGGGCCAAGAATTTGCGCGTGGCCCTTCTAGCTGCAGGCTGTGCCGATGCATCATTGCCTGACAACACCCAGCTTGCCAATTGGTTGAGAAACAACAGCCGCAAAAACAAGGATGCCCTCGACAAAGACAAGTCTGTTGTGGCAGCGGTTGCTTTGGAAGTTAGTCAGTTGCCACGAAGCCTTCCAAAGCAAATCGATGCATTGTTTCTTCTGCGGGACCCAATCATCACGGATACGGAAGTCTGTATCCTTTTCGCTTCTCCCGGGACGCTGAACACCTTTGACCGTTACACTGGTCTAGATGTCGCCCTTTCTGTGGACACCAAGATGAAGGTGTTGACCCGCGGAATGGGCGTGGCCACAGTCAGCTTATTGGTCAAGGACCAGCTGCGCAAGACGCGCTTGCCCAAACTTGGCAAAGGCTCTCGGACTCAAAGCCGTGCTTGGACGTCGCATGGCATGCCCGTTGCGCAGGCAATTTTTCACGCCGAAACAAAGCCCAACTATTGCCGCCTTTTTCGGACCTGTTGCGACTTGTGGGCAGAACGCCAGCCGAGCCGCTTGCCTCTGCCCGAGCAGCGAAGCCTTCAAATCCACAAGGACTTTCACCCCAGCGCCGAAGAAGCTCGTCGAGAAGTCTTCCCACACTCTCGGGCATGTGATGATTTTTCCATTTCAAAGAAAAATCTCACACGGTCATGCGGTCCAAGTGCCGTCAGGTTGTTCTTCACAAAGGAAAACGTGTGAAAAAGCATTTGCACTATGCCTTGACTGTGGTGTCGCTGCTGCGGTTCATCCCGACATTGCCTCTGTTTAGCTGGCTCTGGAAAGCTTTCCTGGCTTCTTTGCGACGCATGGATGAACCGATTCTAGCCGATTGGTTGCAATCATACGAGCGGCCTTTGCCATCTATCTTTTCCGAGCAAGCCGCTGGCCCACAGGATCTTATTTATGTGAGTTTCTGGGTTGGCTTTGATGGCATTATACCCGGATCGGGCAGCGGCAGTGAGCCCGCAGAAGCTGTGCATGGCGCGTGGCAAACGGAATTGGCTTCTCTCGGTGGCCGTGGAGACATCAACCATTGCTTGCGCGTCCTACAAAGGCTCTACACACAACATTGGCAAGACTGGTACTCTTGGATGGATGCTTCGCCTTTGTCTTTTCAGCCGGCCGGACAGGACCCTCAGTTAGTCAATGGTGCGGCTTTAGCGCGAGCCGGGCGCACTACAGCAGCCAACTTCTCCAAGTTGCCACCGAACTCGTGCTATGTCCTTCAACAGTCCACAGATCATTCGTGGGTTGCCTGTGCAGCCACTGCCGCCACATCGCCGGTGAATCGTAGCTTGGCGCAGGGAATCTTGCGGTTCCTTCTTCAGCCGACGCTGCTGCATGCAAACAGTTTGCCTCAGTTGTTTGACGATTCCGGCAATCTTTCATTGCAGGCCCTTCGCTTTCACTTTGAAGATGTTGTGTATGTGCGGGCGCGGCCGACGTCCCTCCTTTGTTCTTGTGCTGCCGCAACAATGCATGCCCAGTGCGAGCATTCGACGTTCCTTCGCAGCTTGGCGCTGCCGACATTCCCTTCGGACTCATTACTGCTCAATGATGTCCCAAAAGCTCGCAAGCGTACCGGGCGTCGAACAACTGCTGCTGAGCCGCCGCGGAAACGGCGCAGACGTACAGGGTGATTTGCTTCAAAGAAAGCCGTTGGTGCAGGTCCATCACGCTGCTGAAAAGTTTGTGCCGCAACTTCGCTGACAGTGCTTTCTTTGTGTAACAGCCTTGTTCTACTTTTAGTTTCTTTAAATTTCGAGCTTCAGCTTCCTCATGTCAGGTCTTTCAATTAAGCCTTTCAAACTGCAATACTGCTTTACTGCGCAGCATCTCCTTGCGCATGACATGCCCTTTTCCTTCTTCCAACCTGGACGCCATGCAGCCGGTCATTCTCTCAGGTCTACCATCCTCGTGTCCACCTGGGCTGGCGGGCGACCGACAAGGAGGAGGAGAAGAAGTCGTAGCAGTAGTAGTAGGATAAGGAGGCTGATGATGGTCATGAGGATGATGAAAATGGTGATGTTGATGCAGATGATGCTAATGATGACGCAGATGATGAGGAGGATGAGGATGAGGATGATGATGGTGATGCTGTTGATGATGCTGATGATGGTGATGATGATGAGGCTGCGGATGATGATGAGGATGATGATAACGAAGAAGAAAAGATGATGATGATGATGACGATGATGATGATGATGATGCTGATGATGAAGATGCTGATGATGGTGATGATGATGCGGCTGAGGATGATGATGATGATGACGAAGAAGATGATGATGAAGATGATGGTGATGAAGATGATGATGATGAAGAGGAAGAAGAAGATGATGATGTTGATGATGATGATGATGCTGATGATGATGCAGATGATGACCAAGATGATGAGAATGATGTTAATGATGATGATGCGGATGGGGCTTGGGATAATGATGATGGCGATCGCACGGCGCGCAGCGCCTCCCCCCGGACTGCAGACATGGAAGACCTTCGTTGTTGTTGTTGTTGCTGTTGCTGTTGCTGTTGTTGTTGGTGTTGCTACGGTGGGTACTGCGTATACGGGAGTTGCTACAATAAAAAAGCGGGAGGGGTGGATCGGGGGGGAGGGCGCAGCGCCTGGAGGAGGAGCAGGCGGAAGAAGAGAGGAGAAGGAGGAGGAGGAGGAAGAGGAGGAGGCGAAGAAGAGGAGGAGGAGGAGGAGCAGGAGGAGGAGGAGGAGGAGCAGGAGGAAGAGGCCAAGGAAAAGGAGGAGGACGAGGAGGAGGAGTTGGAGGAGGAGGAGGAGAAGGAGGAGGAGGAGGAGGAAAGGAGGAAGAGAAGGAGGAGCAGGACGAGGAGAAGAAAAACAAGGAGGAGGAGAAGGAGGAGCAGCAGCAGGAGAAGGAGGAGGAAGAGGAGGAGGCAGCCGACGCCGAAAACACCCGTTACCGACGCAAAAAACACCAACCGTCCCAGAAAACACTGTTTGCCGACGCGACAAACCCCGGGGCCGTCGCAATAAACACCGGCCAACCGACGCAGAAAACACCGTTCCAGCACCGACGCAAAAAACACCGGTACATGTGCACCGTCGCAAAAAACACCGTTTACCGACGCAATAAACCCGGAGCCCCATGAGGCCGGTCTAATCGTTCATATTGATTTGACCCTGCTAAAGTCCTGTACATGGTAAACCATACAAGCCAGTAGTATGCTTGAAGAAGCAAGTTCCGTCCGTCCTTTTCAAAAACGCGTGGACGGCCGCATGATTCAACATATTCAATAGTCTCACTTTTGCACCAAGTATCCACAACTTACCCACACCCCTTTGTGGCTTTGTTTGGAATCCACATTCTTTGGTACTCAAGATACCAGGCAAGCTGACTTATGTGGATCTTGGCCCACTACCTGTCAGTGATGATCAAGAAGAGCAAATAGTACTGAAGGGAATGTCGACAAACAGCACACGGAAGCAGGCGTTGGCTGAATTTTGTCCTTCAGAGACTCAAGACTGTGAAAACCGATGAAAACCATATTCCCTGTAAGTTGCTCAACGTGATGAACAACCTTATGGTGCCGTACAATGATGGCTTGGCGGACGCGATGGAAAGCTATTTGAAGTTTGCCCAGATGCTCGTCGAATTGAGCAGCACCACTTGAATGCTTGGAATCTAGCTATGCTTGACCAAACACGCCCTCCTTGCTTGATGTTGTTTGATTATTTGATGTCCAGCTCCTGCTGGCCTTTTGAATTCCCAGAATCAGACAAACTGGCAAGGAAGCCCTCGTTTGCTTTGCTTTCAATGCCTTTTGGGCGTGTTGGACTGTTGCTACAGAAGTACAACATCGACTTCGCTGCAACTTGTCAAGATCGAATCCTGAAGCACTGTGACACGAGCACATTCTCCCCCTCTCTCTCCTTCTCTCGTACAGAATGATGTTTGCATGTTTCAATGTTCTGCAACATAATGTTTCCATATTCACCGCCAAGTAGAGCAGAGTTATGCGCAAACAAAGCTCATGATGCACCAGGGCCTATGCACAAATAAACAAAAGCTTTTGAGTTTTCAGCTGGGAGGGCAACTGCGTTTGAGGGAGGCTGTGTACCCACTTCGGCAACTTCTGCGTTGCGGTTAGGCAGGCTTGCGCATTCGTTAAAGGGGTGTTGTGTGTGTGTGTGTGCGTGCGCATGTGTGACGATTTTTCGAAAGTGGTACATGTCCTCAACTGAGGTCAATATTCCCACCATTCTTGTCCCTCCTTTGGTTCCGCAGCTGTGCTGCAACTTGAGCGAATCCACAAGCAACGAAAAAGACTGCTGGTTTCACAAGTCCAGATACTTGAGGCAAAGTGTCACCATTTCTCTAAGAGCACAGAACTATCGTTTATATATTGCCAGATGCTTTTGGACAATTTAGTTTCTTCCGAAAGGCGTTGTTGCAAGCTATGTGTGCTGTTGCCAAGGTGGGCTGCCCCATACGTACCAATTCCTTTCCACCATGTCAGCGTGCACAACATGAGTTTTTTCGACAGGACGCGCCTTTTTTTGTCAAGCTGCCAGGTACATTGCAAGCGTCCTTGCATTTGATGTTCTCATTTTTTGAGGATTATGATGATAGAAACTTGGGACTTTGACAAAAGAGTTTCCTCCTAGTACGAGTACTCACCATTTCACGAAGACTATTGACTTATTGAGTTTTGTTGAGTCTTGAGCAAGAACTTCTTTGACAGCATGTCACGTTATCCGTGATATACACAAAATGCAACTTTATTGGTGGGGTTGTAGTCTGTGCAAGAAAATGCAAGATAAGACAAGCACTATTTAAATTTAGACGAGTATGGTTTGTTCATGTATTATTATTAAGGTTTTTGATGTTCGGCATTCAAGCGCAAACAGGACAAAATTTGGTAATGCACGGGTGGGGAGAGGAGCTACAACGCTTTCCCACTTTCCCAGGTGAATACTACAGGACTTCACAGTGGAGTTATTAGATTTCCAGTTCAGGGCAAGACCACACGAATTGTTTTCCTCAAGGACCAAGGTAGAGCAAACCCAGCCCATAACGCCTACTGAATTGAAGGCATAAATAAAGGAAGCAGAACCAATCTGCAAAGACTCAACTTAAGAAGTGTTCATACTGCAAGTGGGACTGGGATATGCCGGTGGACCTGGACCCCTTTCATGGTGCGACCATTTATCAGCCATGTACTCGCGTGTGCAGGCGTACCGTTCTCAAAACATGGACTTGTTCCAAGCAAAGCTGTTATTTTTTGTCAGCCTGCCGCCATCATGTTCACTCAATCACGTCACGTGTGATGACTTTGCACAGGATAATGGTTCTTGGATTCAACGCCTTGGTGAACTTTTTTCGTGCCGCTGCTTTGTCCATGGACTACAAGTTTACTTTGGTGCCAGAGATGGGACTCTTGGCTTGAAATTCAAGCTTCCTCTCCAAAGCAGTTAAATTCTCAGCAGCATTCACATGCTCAGTGGGGGGATTGTTAGAGGATTCTGCGCAATTTCATAAGGCTGGGATCTTTGGCAGGGACGGCTAGTGTTCATAAACTCCATTCCCGGAATGGACTACACGCAGCCGCTACCACCTTTGGTGCAATACACCGGGCCAGTTGTGGATGTCAAGAAGATGGAACCCTTTCCAGAAGACGTTGAGCGAATCAGTTGCAGCAAGCTTTGTGATAGGGTCGCTTGCCGCTTGCAGAACTGGCATCATACTAGAGGATACTAAGTAGCGGTTTTGCAGCTAGTGAATCAGTGGCAGATTAGTTTCAGTTTCAATTACTGTATCCGCAACAAGCACGGACTGGGATAAAGACACTCTTAGTCTTGGACTCTTGGAATCTCAACAGAGTAGCAAGGAGATTCGCAGAATCTGAAAAAAATGCAATTATATTATATAATCTGGGTTGCATTGTGCCTCTCTGCGAGTAGAAGCAAAACATGCTCAACTGCCGCAAAGGTTGCTGTTGTGCACCGCTTTTTATGGAGCCCATTCCTACTAGGCAATGGCTCGAGGGTGTCCCAGCCGACATGCCCGTGGTCTATGTGAGCTTTGGAACAGTCGCGCGACTAACTCCTGATCGAGTCTGAAGCTCAATACATGGTTTGCTGGAAGCGACAGCGACTGCAAATACATACACGGTCATGCAACAGCATCTACTGAAACAAGCTTGTGAATGCAAGAAATGCTTGGATAGTGAGTGATACTGGGTTTACATGCCACGATAGATTGGAGCTTTGAAGACCTCAAGCTTTCGCATCATCCTATGGTTTAGAAAAATTGTCTAGTACCAAGCACCAAGGTGGTGTTTGCAATGCGTTGCAACCGTTGCTACGTAGGCCAGGGCAATGTTGGCATCTTTGACTTCTCCAGACTTTTACACCTTGTGGGCACTTCCAAAACCACAACAAGCTGGTTTGCCAGGCAGGGCTCCGCATAGGAAATCAAACCCTTGCGCATCGAAGCTGAAAAGCAGTCGTAAGGCATAGCCATAGTGACAAAGCTGACTTGCTCATGTGAGGCAACGACATTCGCGTCAAGATTCATCACTGGATTCCAACTGCAAGAGCACTGGCACATCCAAAAGTGAAGGCCTTTGTATCTCACTGTGGAGGCGCAGCACTCAAGGAGTGGCACAGCACCCCAGACGGACACAGACATCCAGAGTCGTTTCTTGCTTTAAGCTGCACCGCATTCAAAGCTGCATGCGTCCTCAGCAAATCTGAAGCTGAGTTTTGCAAGCAAAGCCAATCATTGTTGAGCGGCCACTGCGATGCACAGGCAACTCTGCCACAGAGTCCATGGCATTGGGTGTGCCTTTGATTGGCTATCCGCAGTTTGGTGTCAGGAGCTCAGAAAGATGCAAACCGTCACGCGAGACTTTTTGAGGCGAATTGGTGAGTGCTTCAAATGTCAAAGAACGAGTGGGTTTGGATAAAATTGGGTCTAACATTGTTTGATTTGTGTTTTATATTTTTGGTCCAAACAAGGCACCGACTTGGCTAAACTTCAATATTGTCAGGATCAGCCAGCAGTTTGCCAGCGTATAGCAGATGCTGGTGCTGGAATCTCAGGCTTGATGCCCAGTACCTGCTGATCAAGTCGATATGTTGGACTTTGCTCCTAGTAGCGTTCTTGTTCCTAGTAGTAAGGCCAGGAGCCCCTAGTAGCGATGCCCTTTGCTCCTAGTAGCGTTCTTGATGTTCTTGTTCCTTTTTGGAAAGTTGTTGGATCACTCAAGTTCATGAACTGGCCACTCCAGAGCTGTATATGCCTGTGAGGCCCTCCTGGGGGCTGGGTGCAGACCACTGATGTGTTGCATGTCCTGCAGACGGAACGCTACGCAGAGCGCGCCGCAGCCATGTCCCGCCTGCTCGAGCAGTTTGGTGGTGTGTGCGAAGTCCCAGACGCAAGAAGTTCTGAACATCAATTTGTTCGTTAAAAGTACTGTGCTTAAACAATTGACTTTGTCCTCCATGGTTTGTTATATGTTCGGTTCAGCTACTTCGTCCAGATCGCGGGCGGCGGATCTTCTTGAGCTTGCTGTGCGTGGCGATTTGAAGCTGCTTGAGACTCCGCTGGAGAGCAGCTTCACAGAAAGATTTAAGTATCACGCGACTCATCATTCGCAGATTGTCAGACTCGGCCGTGTACAAAGTTCTGACACGTCAAAGCTGAGGTACAAAGTTCTCCCAATTCCTCCTGCGAGGCTACATCTCTATATCCTAAGCGTATGAATTACTGAAATGAAATTGGTGTTCTCCTATGTTTGCAGACTTGAGCGGGAAAGACTGGGAAGGTTATGACCTGGTGCTTTATGTGCAGCTCTTCTTCTTCGTGCTCATAATCGCTTGTGCCTTGTTTGCATGACTTCATAATCCCCGATTGCAAATCAAACCGCAACACCAATAACATCTTAGTACTCAGTGCTTGTGTGACGGTTTGTACCTTGCCCTTGAAAAGGCATGCGCTGCTGCAGCAGACGGCAGCCCGCCAATCCTTCCAAGCAAAAGACACACTGACAGAGAGAGCGCCTTGTTTGAGACTTCTTCAGGTAGAATTGATTTTCAATTATATACACACACAAACAGACAGGTCCTTCTTCACGTTTCCGGTGATGTACTATTGGTATCAGGATGGTGAGCTTGCAGGAGTGATGCTACTGGTTTAAGTTTAGCGAGCACTCGCATGGGTGCATTAGCGAATTGCGATGCTCATTTGCATTTTGCTTGCACAGACCATGAGTCAACCTGTCCTGGAATCGGATGGGCGGGTGAAATCATGTTGCCTACTCCAGACGGCATCACTCGGCCACAAAGGTTTTGTTCTGCTTGTTTGCCTTGCTGAATCTGGCATGTATATATTTTTGGTTATGGCTTGCATTTCTGGCTCGCGGTTGATATGGGGAAGTTGGTGGGTGTTGGCCTATTGAGCAAGGCTCTAAGCAGGTTAAAGGGGTGTGCACTTTGCACTCTGCCTTCGTTGGCCCTTGTACAGCAAGAGGCAAAGAGTGCCGAAGGGGTAAAAAGATATATAAAAGACCACATGAGACGATTTCAGAGGAGTTGAAATGCAACGGCATTGAATGTGCCGAATGAAGGATTCCGGGAGACTTGATGTAGGCTTTCTTGCGATTGCCTGCGTGATAGTTTAGATTTGCTCTCAAAAAAGGCCATGAAGCACTTAGTCACAGCATTCACGGGTGAGTTCTGTTGAAGTGATGCCTCAACCTTGCTTGTTCAATTGAATTGTTTTTGTAGTTTGTGCGGCAAGCGGTCGGTTGGGTTCCTTTGCTTTCCAGAACTGTGGGTTTTAACACTGATTGCAGAAGCCATGCCGAGCGACCCCATTGGCGGATTGTACCGAAAGATTGTGATTGGCCTCTCTCTCAGCGAAGCTGCAGTAGGTGATGTACAGTAATTACTTGATGGTGCGTGAGAAGGAACATAATTGAAGCTGAGGCAAAGAGCAGAGCCATCGTACCAGTTTCATGACAGGACACCTCCTGTGGCAGGACTGGATCGACCCTGCTACGATCTTATATGTGCCTTACTGTTTCGCTCCAGACGGGAGGACAGATTAAGGATTGAGAAAGGGCAGCGTGACAAACATTTGGTGCATTGGTACAAAAAGCCAAAGCCTTACACCAGCATTCCTCAAATTCATGCGGTCCATGCGTGCAACCGCCTAAGCCGCTGCTCAAAGGTTGGGACGGGAGCCTTTGGACTTTGCAGGCGAGCAAGGCCGCTCGTGCGGAGAGCAGCTTGAGACATCGTGTTTTCGAACGCTTGATTGGGCAGATTTGGGCAGGTTCACAGGCGGGCACAAGGACTGGAGGGAAGGCCGAATACGTGCAATTTGACAAAATCGAAAGACAAAGGAACAAAAGCTTAGCTTCTTGCCTCTTGCTACTAGTAGTAAGAATGCTCCTACAGTAGTAGTAACGCCCTTTGTTACTAGTAGCGATGCCGATGCCCTTGTTCCTCGTAGCTTCTTTGGTGGTTTTCTGGATTCTTCAGATGTGAGCCTCCAGGATTGCGAGGGACAGGCTCCTTTGGCAAGACTCCGAAGGCAAGCAGAGCCTGCTTGAAAGCTGGCATTGACATGCATTCGCTCGCCTCAGTTTTGCTCAGCCCAGCTCAGCCTGCTGACCTCACCTCACCTCATCTCATCTCATTTCATCCACGCATCACCTTGAATATCGTGGTATACTTGTGATCCAACACGCAGACACCCTAGCTGCATTCACCCCCTAGCAGCTCTAGGTTGCAAATAGAAGATGGTTACAGCGATGCAGTGGCCAGGACCTGGGAGCAGAAGCCTTGACCTTGACACCGGGCGTATTGGGCGCCGAGGCAATCACCTGGCTTTCAGAAAGACGAATACACGTGTAGCATTCGGCTGCCAATCGTTTTCTTGCTCATACTCTTTTCAGAAGGAATGCAAATCTAAGTAAAAGATGAATGAATTCATGAGCTTCCGAAGAATGTCGTTCATGCAGCTCTCCAGTGAAGACAAGGCTTATTGGCTCATCCTCTGTATCAGTTTCCTGAATTCGTTTTAACAATTCGCGGCACTCTTTACGCCATGTTCGAAAATGGAGATGCTAAAAGCTGCTGCTGCCATCGCTTTTCTCCTGGTTTTACCAGGAACCTTGTCTGAGACTTAAAGTATCTTGAGAGAGGTATTGAAAGATTCAACCACGCTTGACCCGTCTCTTTTTCACCTTTGGCACAAAGGATTGCCGTGGCTAATCATATCCCAATTGCAATTCCCAGTCGCAGAGGATTGCGAAGTGCCTCAGTCAGCAAGGATTTGACACGATCGTGTCGAGGGGTCGAGTAGCTGAGTTATCTGAATTGACAATCTTGATCAGTGTAGTGTCTAGCTTGGACATGTTCGCGGATCCACTTTTGCAGTTACAAAGAAAGGCTTCGCTGCCACAGCCTTTTGCGTCGGTCGGGATTGTCCACAGCAGTCCAGATTCTTCGAGGCAATCATAATACTCGGCTACGAGATTGATTGGATAAGCGGTGATGTGCTCCCTGAAGCTCAGCAAGGTTTTGTCTCAGTCAATTCATTTGAAGATGTATGAGCGTCCTTCTCAAATCCCTGACAACTATTTGTCTTGAGAAGAGTTCATTGGCGCTCATTCGCAGACTGAGGGAGGTTTGCTGGAAGCACGACTGCAGCTTGCACAAAGAACTGCCGAGCAGTCGCGCCCAAGGTGTATCGACTTGATGTGGGGTTACCAACGCTAGATTGTTCATTGCTTGACCAAGAGGTTTTCTGAGCAAAACATAGCAAAACTACTTGTGTCAACTCCCAAGCTGGGTCTTACCGCAGCTTCACAAAAAGAAACTAGACTAGACGACAAGTCCGCAAATGTGTCTTCTACAGTAGGTAAGTGTAGCTGTTTATGTGTATGCAGTTGCATGTGCTAATATATATACACTGGTCCACTGGTAGCCCGCAACCAAAGGGATCTACCTAAAGGATCCTAAAGGGACCTATCCAAAGCCAAATGAATATGATGAATCTGCCGAATGTCATTTGCGCCATTTCTCCTGTGCTGAAACATCCACACATACAAGATCACCAGCAAACATGTACACATGCACGTTCACACCTGCAAGACGAGAACATACTATTGGTATACATGTGAACATATGCAAGCTGCGCGGCGAAAAATATGTGTGTGCACTACGCAGGCGCAAAGTCGTCCTACACATGCAAAAAGTGTCGATGTGTGTATGTTACAAGCATGCACACTAGATGTAGAAATAATACTGTTGAAATTTACCTCATCCCCGCGGACCCCGTAGCGTGGACTCTCAAGGTAGAGTAAAACAGTCGCTTAACGGTAGTTCAGGGTTAGCTAGGTACTTGTTAGGATCTGAGCTGATCCTGTAAAATACAGGTTATCAGCCGTAGGCTAACTAGAGTAGAGCTATGGACCCGATGGACGATGACGTCGCACCGAACACCTACGGAAGGGGCTTCGACATTATCCCAAGTTTACCCAATAGTTTGGATGCAGCCCAACGACATGAGCAGGCAGTTGCTCAGGTGGCAGCAATGGATCCAAGGGTAGCTTCGGAGGTGTACCAACAGATGCTAGACAGTGGTGGCAGTGTTACTCTTCAAGAAGCAACGCAAGCTACCCTAGCAGGTATGCCGTCGGCCACCGTAACGGGTGCGCCAACAGTAAACAACTTGTTGGCAATGACTCGGTTCAACGTCGTCAACGTGAACACATCAACAGGTGATGAAGAACTACGACGGGAACTACAACAACACGAGTTTTTACTCAGTGAGCATGCCAGGAGGGAAGCAGAACTCGAAGCATTGCGCTTTAGGCAAGTATATGAAAGAGAAGCTTCCGAATCTATAGCAGCAACAAAAGTTGCGGCAGAGCAGGCCATGTTGCATGTTCAACAAAGGGTCAACAGCAGAACAAAATGTTCAGCAAATGGCTCAACAGCAAGACAACGTTGCGATCAAACGGTTGCAAGGAAGAGCAGAGAGAACATTTCCAACAACGGCTAGCTCAGGCAACTATGGCTCACGAAAGGGTTGTACAAGAGAAGAACGCCTTAACAGAAGAAGGCAATATATTTGTTGAAAGGTTGAAATCTGAACACCGTCAGTATGTCGAGCAGCAAGAATCTAGAGTCAAGGCGGCAGTAGAGGCGACAAAGCAAGCCAGGTCCACATCAGCCGAAGAAGCCCGAAAGGTTATAGATCTAGATTTCAAGCGCGAAGAACTGACAAGTTCATTGGCAATTGCACAAGCCAAAATCAAGTCGCTTATTGGTGAAATGGAAGCAGCCAAGAAACAGAACGATGTTGACAAGGAATATCAAGAGCAGACCATTGTTGAACTACGCAAGGACAATGCAATGTTGAAAGGTGAAATGGATGAGCTCAGACGTGTTGCGCAGGCCTTAACGGACAGGGAAGAAGAGCGCAAGGAAACCGAGCGCAAGGCACAAGCCGAAAGCCCCGTTAACTAAGATCTTCAAATCCAATGAACCTATTTCCCTCACTATGCCAATGGTCCCATCACTGCAGAAGATGTAGTTGAGGTGATTCTCCCTGGGCTGTGTGAATCCTTTAGTCCCTACATTCTTCCTCGCGCCCCCTCTGCACTCTCGATTGGATTGAGATGCTTAGAACAGGGATATGATTTTGATACCCCTCCCATTTTCTGGCGACCAGATGGACAATGCGACAGGTTTAAACTGCAAGGGTTCCTTACATTGATGAAACACGCACCCCGTTTTCTATTCCTGAGTCACTAAGGACGCGTCTTACTAAGGTACTCGACTCCATCCACCAGTTCACCATTGACCAAGGCTTTGCTATGGCTAGTCGGGAATCCGAACCTGAAGAGGAAGGAAAGGATGATGAGGCTGGCGTAGCTGCCAATGCCGATGATGAACAGGAGGAAGAAGAGGATAGTGACCCGGAAGTAGTTCCAATTGAGGTTGAAGATGTTCCCGTAGCAGGGGAAAAGACTGAAGAACAGCTACGAAAAGAAGCAAAATCAGGGGTGCACCAATTCACACATCGACCAAAGAATCCCTACTGTGATATTTGCAGTGAAGCTAAAATGCTTGCACCCTACGGTAGAAGCGTAGGCGGATCACAACATGTTTTAGCACGTGGTTTCGGAGACCACATTGTTTGTGACCATGTCATTCCCAAAGATATTGAAGAAGGGATTGAGGGCCAAACATCCATGTTGGTGATCAAAGATGTGTACACTCAATACCGTTGTGTCTACCCTTCGGAAAACAAGACTGCCGATTCCATCGTGAAGGCATTCAAACACTTCCTCAAGACCTCTGACCCCGTTGGTATTGTGTACACTGACAATGCTCCTGAAATGTTAGATGCAATTGAGGAAGCTTGGGTTCAAGCATCAAACTTCTGTTGAGTATCAACATTCTACCAAAGCGGTTGTTGAGCAAGAAGTCCGTACCATTTTGGAAGGGGCGCGCTCAAACCTTCTTCAGGCCAACACGCCTTTGTCGTTATGGCCGTATGCCTCCAAACACCACGCCATGGCCATAAAATATTGTCAAGCAATTGAACGGTGGTGATCCACCTTGGACATTACGTTTTGACGATGGGTTTCTTGGTAGACAACTTCCTTTCGGACGTCTTCTTTTCTTTTGGGAGGGAAACTATGAACCAAAGAGAGAAAAGTTTGCTCCCAATGCCAAGAGAGGTGTTTTCTTAGGATACAACATCCAGGCCGGACATGTTTGGAGTGGAGAATTTGGTAGCGAATGTTGACAGTTTAGACTATTTCTCGAAAGAAGGACATTTGAAAACTATAAGAATCAAACGCGTCGCTTTGCCTAATGGTGATTTCACCTTTCCGCTTCATTACAAAGAGAAACCGGTGCTCGATCTCCAAGACTTAGATTATCAACCTGAAGAGGATGATGAAGACGACCCACCGGATGGCGACGACCAAGATGGTGATGGCCCAGGACCAGATCAGCCCGACATACATGAAGATGAACTAGCTGAGGTCCCAGATCCACCACCAGGGGCGCCAGAAGCAGAAGCGGAGATACGTGAAATGAAACCAGAAGAACTAGCCAGCTTAAAAACTGAGCCGATTGAAAAGAAAGGCAAAGAAAAGAAAGAAAGAGAACCAACACTGTTTGAATTATGACCCATCGGTCAACCCATACATGTTTCCTGACGGAAAACCGGTTCCAAAGGGTTATGTTTACGATGGAGTTCGATTAGTTCGTGAAAAGAAAGGTTCCAAAAGAGATCCGGGATTTCCAACCGATTTATGGCAGAACTTAAGTCACAAGCAGCGAAAGAAAGCATGGAATGACTATCAACAAGACCTCTTAAGAGAAAAAGAAGACGGCTGAGGCTGTTGACAAAGTTTCCGTAGAAGGAAACCCTAGTGAAAGTCCTCCAGCTATGGTTGCTGCTCCTGCCATGCCCGTTGAATATAATGTATATGAACCACACCGTAGCGATACGCGACAGCTAGTGGAAGATAGAACTTACCGACGAAGCTAACGCTAGCCTGTTCGCCGCTGTGGTTCAACTCCTCACGAAACCTAAGTACCAGACTTGCGTTGCTGCGGTAGCCAAAGTGCTCAACAAGAATCAAACCGCAGCGTCCAAGGATGCCCAGGCATCGTTGGATAAGGAGTGGGACAAGCTTCTTAACAAGAAGACTTGGGACCAAGAGCGAGTCAGGGAATGTCGACGCGTCGTTGAAGAAGCGCGCAAGAAAGGTGAGAAGGTACACATCGGTAGAATTTTTGAAATTTGCACTCTTAAAGGTAGTGAGTTGCCGGTTGGAAACCCTCAAAGGAAATACAAAGGTAGGTCATGTTTTCAGGGAAATAATGTATTTGATGAGAATTCAGACTATGCCATTTTTGTGAGATGTCATCATCTCCAGCTTCGATGGAAGCCGCCAAGATCTTAGATGCGTTCGGATCTCAGCCTGGGTATTCTAAGGAACAAGCTGATGCTCGGCAAGCATATACCCAAGCCGCCTTCACCGGCGTGCCGACATGGCTGAGGTTACTTAAAGATCGATGGCCCAAGGGTTGGAAAGGAAAATATAATGATCCATTGGTACCAATGTTGTTGGCATTATACGGTCACCCAGAGAGTGGTGGTATTTGGGAAGCGTATGTTGAGAAACAAATTGGTAAGAAAGGATGGCACTCAGTCCTTAAAGAAATTTGGCGTTCTGTGTTCTACCATCCTGAATTTGATGCTCTTCTTGTTGTCTATGTAGATGATCTCAAGCTCGCTGCACCAACTAAGAAGATCAAGACAGCACGGAAATCAATTTCCAGTATGATCGACATAGACGATCCAGAACCTTTCAATAGGTACTTCGGATGCGAGCATAGGGAAGAGCGAGACATCAAACTTGACATCAAAGAACATCCTTTCTACGACATCTTTAGCACGAGTAAATCCGTCGCCGCACAAACCAGAACAGAAGACTACTGGTCATACGGTGAGGAACGAAACACATACACTAGGCACCACCTATATCCTAGGAAAAGACGTTTTGTGCCTGTCGACCAAGGTCTTACTGTGCCTTGTCAGCACTTCCTCGCACTAAGGACCACCATCAAAGACAACGACGGAACTGAGGTATGCTCTTAATGAGGGGGGACGGTGGACCGGTAAAACGGTTTTCCAGTGCTGCCCTAACAGGCA